ATAATTATTACTCAAATATAAACATGGGCGCATTTAAATCATTGAAAAAGATATTCAGGTCCCGGAGTCATGTGTCTAACGAAAGTCGAGATAATATTTTAAATACTTGTGACTCATTGGTGAATTATTTTATTCGAAATAAAGTGAATATGTAATATTAACCATACAATATCATGCGTAATGTTCAATTTTTCTATAATAAACTCGCAACGCACTTCGATCGCATTATTCGCGTACATTTCGACTGACCTCTAATAACTATGTGTTTGAATTACGTGCAGCAATGGGCAATGGGCAATGACCTCAATGAGTTCACGCACTGACATTTAAATTCAGGCCACCCAGTTTGACGCAAAACGATATAGTTACTTAACATTTGTTCAAAAAATTGGTAAACTCTCACAAATACCATGAACGGGAAGAGTTAACTGAAATGCAACGTCGTTTTTGACCAAAAAAAAAAACCAAAACATGTCAATACAAGATTATGTGTGCAAGGTTAGATTTATAGAACGTACATGATCGCTTAACTCTGTTTTTTTTTTCAATAATCATGTCGCACGTGAAACACATTTTAGTTCGTCCATTTCTTGTTTATCGATCTTGAACTTTTTGTCTGGAATGCAATACAGGCAAAGAATAAACATTAATGATACCCACCATTGTCAAATCGACAAGAGGCTCGAATCAGGAAGGCTCAGCTATTTAAAAGTTGGTAAATAACATTCTTTTCATGTGGTAGACTTTATTCAAGTGTAACAAACGTAAGTAAAATGTATGGACGAGTCATATTACTCGTACCTTCGAAAGTTACGACTTTTACTCTTGGAATTGGTGATAAATACATGCATAAAATACAACATTGTTTCATGCAACAACAATTTGTATACAGCATTGGACTTGGATGGATTTTTATATTAATAAAATACGTGGGCCGATAATATTACCATATGCTTAGCATTTCCATGCCAGCGATGCTCGTAACCTGCTCGATTTAAAAACATCTATTTGAAACAAAGACTCATGGAATCACAAAGGAAACTGTTAAGTACGTATTTCACACGTTTCGTACGACCGTGGTTGCAACCGGTACCGGTGGCCACCGCGGTAGAGACCCCTAATTATAAGCAGTGATTACCGCGGTGAACCGCCCGTTTGATTTCCTACTCTTCCCTAAAAAGCATTAAGCGAAAAGTTAAGTAAATGAAAGGTAAAATAAGTGTGACTGAGTGTATTCTGTTATTTCTTCATTTACTGTTACACAGTGCACAGAGGGTCTGGATGAGTTTTCAACAGGCTAGCTGGGCAGGACAACACCACTGTACCCAGGATAAGTTTACCACAGACTCACTGGGTGGGCCAATCCTCTGGCAGTAATGCATTCATATTTTTGTCTTTGCACTTTGTGTTTGACCAAGCCTGGTTGTTGCCGAGACAAGGGCATTAGATTATGGTTCCTGTGGTAAATACCATTATTTGCCTATGAAAAGTCAGAAGAGACAATGACATTCAATGTCCTGAACTGTCACCTAGTACTAAAATATAAAAAGTGCTTTGCAGTGCCGGAAATGCTCACAATGGCAGACTAGACTAGACTAGACTAGACTAGCAAAAATACCGGTACTCTTCAAGTATAGCAAATACTGTAGATCAAGAGATATTGTGAGACCAAAATAGATTTTTTATTGCATATAGCTCTGATTGGATTGTCATTGTTATTCAAATACTTATAGTTTATTTTTTTATTTATTGTTCTGAACTTTAAAGCAGCAACATTGCCAGCTAAGTTACTGACTGGACATGCTATGTGCGTCTCAAGATCGTTAAATAATTAGTTAGTTCACTTTTATGTGGGTGTGCCATTCAGCTAAATGCGTCCATTTACAAGTGTTGCACCAGATGCACCAGCGACTGTGTCCTGACATTTCATACTGTGTCAGTACATACATTTTGTTTGGATAACTTTGATATTATAATATAGAAATCTATATGATAGAATGAAATAAATTGAAAGGCAATCATGTCTTGATCTTATTAGTGTACGAGTCCCCCTACTATTAATTTAACGTCTTCTGTTGTGATTGGTTTGTCCAAGCTTGTCCTAACTGCGTATAAATCTCCAGGCATGCATAGCAAGTCCAGTCAATAGCTTAGCTGTCAATGTTGCTGTAATGTTGCTTGCTTTTGGTGTTAACAATATGGTAGTGACAGTAAGGCTACCTTGACTTGCTTTTAAATTTACTGCACATCTAAATTGTGTCGAGTAATCTGCCTAAATACATGTATTTGTATGTCTAGTAATACCCCCCTGGTAGTAACATTGGTAAATACATGTATTTGTATGTCTATTATTAGTAACATTGGTAAATACATGTATTTGTATGTCTATTATTAGTAACATTGGTAAATATATGTATTTGTTCGTCTAGTATTAGTAACATTGGTAAATACATGTATTTGTATGTCTATTATTAGTAACATTGGTAAATGCATGTATTTGTATGTCTAGTATTAGTAACATTGGTAAATACATATATTTGTATGTTTAGTATTAGTAACATTGGTAAATACATGTATTTGTTTGTCTAGTATTAGTAACATTGGTAAATACGTGTATTTGTATGTCGAGTATTAGTAACATTGGTAAATACATGTATTTGTTCGTCTAGTATTAGTAACATTGGTAAACACATGTATTTGTACAAAATGTATGTCTAGTACCGGTATTAGTAACATTGGTAAATACATGTATTCGTATGTCTAGTATTAGTAAAATTGGTAAATACATGTATTTGTATGTCGAGTATTAGTAACCTTGGTAAATACATGTATTCGTATGTCTAGTATTAGTAAAATTGGTAAATACATGTATTTGTATGTCTAGTATTAGTAACATTGGTAAATACATGTATTTGTTTGTCTAGTATTAGTAACATTGGTAAATACATGTATTCGTATGTCTAGTATTAGTAAAATTGGTAAATACATGTATTTGTATGTCTAGTATTAGTAACATTAGTAAATACATGTATTTGTATGTCGAGTATTAGTAACCTTGGTAAATACATGTACATGTATTCGTATGTCTAGTATTAGTAAAATTGGTAAATACATGTATTTGTATGTCTAGTATTAGTAACATTGGTAAATACATGTATTTGTATATCGAGTATTAGTAACATTGGTAAATACATGTATTTGTCTAGTATTAGTAACACTGGTAAATACATGTATTTGTATGTCTAGTACAATGTATAGTAGTAACATTGGTAAATACGTCAGAGAATAAGATGAAATTATTGACAAGTCACTCTCACTAAATAGGATTTTTTTAAAGGCAGCAAGCGCGAAAGTTACACTCCTACTTTACTGTGTATTGAGAGTCATTACAAAACTAGGTTTAACTCACTTCAGCAAAGTGCACCCTCTGGTGTCTTAAAAGAGAAATGATGTATACCAGTATGTTACCCTGCATGACTTTTGATTGTGGTACTATTGAATTATGGGAAATTAAAGTTTTCGAATATTTTATAAATTTTTTTTTAAATATACTTAGTTTAGGTGCTTGAGATTGTGTGGGGTGTGTTCAAAGTTCAAGGTTAAAGGGTGCAGTGTAAATGTTTCAGATTTGGATTTTGAATCCTCTACTAAGCCAATATAATGTATTACTGATTCACTGAGTTTTTTTGTGACACAATATGTTACAAATACATTGGAAAAGTTTCCTTGAAAAATATCATACCATCGTTGAGGAATTTGCAATTTGGTGAAAAAAAATGTATAAACAAAATAAGCGTAAAAATAAAGGAAATCAGGGATGACATCATTTTTGTTCGAACTTTCAGAAGTCAGCCGTAACAATTATGATTTAGTTTTGAAGACTATCTTCAGGATTCAACAAGCTTACCGAACTTGATTTTGGAAATTCTATTTTGCCTTCAGATCAGTCTTGTGGGGTACACTGCTAACTGAGGGTTGTCTGTGTTCTGATTACAGGTTGATTAAATCGTTAGAAGACATGCGAGTTGTACAAGTTGCATGTGGCTCCTCACATTCTTTGGCTCTAACCACAAGTAAGTAGATTTATTCTTATTATTCTCAATACAATAGGTGATTTTCCATTCAACTGCGAAATCTTGCGTTAAAAACGTGCGCTGAATGTCGGCAGCAAAAATCAAACGATTTGATTTTGAACTTTGATTTTTTTTATT